CCCCCCGCCGCCGCCGGGGACTCACGACTCCTTGTAGTACACGATGAAGCTGAGCAGGTCGCGGGCCTCCAGCGGCTCGTAGCGCTCCCAGCGTAGCAGAATGCGGTCCGCCTCTGTCACGTTGGACACGAAACGGAGGGTGCGCGTCTGGCCTGGGTGGGGCGAGCGGAACGTCTGTTCCCAATGCGCCCACCTTGACCCTGCGGATCCCAGAGAGCCGTCCCCTCGGGCACCCTCCCGCCAGTGTCAGGTGCGAGGGCCGCGTTCCTGGGCGCGGAAGTCTGCACCCGAGGCTGGGTGTGCCGGGGTCCCAGCGAGGGCGCCCTCGCTCTGGGGAGGGGCTCACAAGCAGCGCGGTCCCCGTTGGTGCGCGGGTTGATCTCTGCCTTGTTCTGCCGCCCTCGCGTGCCGGTCACCTCCTCCAGCCGGTAGATGTGCTCCAAGCAGAGACGCGGGTTGAAGGCGAAGTAGATCTTGCCCACGGGAATGGTGAGCCCCGCGGCCACCCAGGACCCCAGCTGTTGCAGGTTCTGGTTGTCCAGCACGTACAGCGTGTAGTTCCTAGGGAAGGCCAGGGGACCTTGCGCGGCGGGGAAGGAGGGGCTGGGTGCAGGGAAGGGTGGCTTTAGGCTCCTCCGGGAGGGGCTGTGCTGGGCACAGGGAGAGGCCACTCCGCAGCCACTCACAGCTGGCACACGGGCATCCGGCTTGAGCACACCCACCCCATGCCACTGACCAGGAGCGTGATGCCCAGCAGGTCACCCATCCTCTCTGGTCCTGTCAGTGAAAGGAGTGAACGGCTTCCTTGCTTCCTTCTTCCTTCCTTCATCTCACTTTTCCAAGCACCTGCTATGTATTGCCAGACACTGCTGGCTTTGGGGACACAGGGAGGGCTGACACTTATCCTGGGGCAACCTCTCCGCAGCTGGGGCCAGGGCACCCCAAGGGCGCATGACAGTGTGCCCGGAGGAAGACAGGAAAAGCCACAGGAGACCCCTTCACCCAATGGTAATTAATATATATATATATGTTATGTTTGAGAAATATCTACACTGGGTAGATCTTTGGACAGCAGGAACAGGTTTCAAACCCAGGCAGTTGCGCCCTGGAGTGGAGTGGACCCGATAATAACAATTATAACCAATCCTTTAAAGTTTCATATAACTGTGGTGCACACCTACAATCCTAGCACTTGGGAGGCTGACGCAGAAGGATTACTTTGAGTTTGGGGCCAGCCTGGGCTACATAGTGAATACAAGGCCAGTCTGAACTACATAGCGAGACTGTGTCTCAAAAAACCAAAAAGCATTTTTTTCATTTTACATACTGTGTTCCAGGCATGAAGTGTTTCAAACTTATGTAATAGTCACAAGAGTCCCCAAGCAATCCATCCTACAGATGAAAAACTGAGGACCAGAGAACCCATCCAGAGTAACAGAGCTAGTAAGTAGCAGCACTGATTTCAGAGCCCCTTCTCTTTACTACTGTTGGGGAATGTAGGGGCAAGGGGCCGTGGTCAGAAGCCCAATGCTGATCCCTTACCCATCCACCATGGTGTCCCCTCGGATTAATTTGAGGTTCTTGAAAAAACTCAGGGACACAAGGGCAAAGGAGTGCTTGATTTTGAGGAAGCCAGTGATGGTCTCCACCAGTCCCAGGCTGCGCTGCAGCTCTGGCTCCAAGTTGTCTGAAGAGAGGAAGACAAGGATGGAACAAAAGCAGGAGAGGTGCGGTTCACAGGGCAGGAGGGTAGCTGGAGAAGTGTTGAGGGTAAGAGGTGACATGGGAGGTGGTCATCGCGGGGAGAGTTCTGGGAGGGGCGTGGCCAGGGGAGGGAGTGGTTTGAGGGAGGGCGTGGCCAGGAGAGGTTACTGACAGCCTCTGCGAAGGTTGAGGATGAGGCTCCCCTCCACATGGGTGCAGCCCACTAGATCCTGCGCCGCCTGGACAGAGTCTATGGTCTTCGTGCCTATCTTGCACTCTTTGGGGCACCGCCCCTCGCACTTGTGGCAGAATATGCTGGCAGGGCAAGCAGATGCTGTGAGCCTTAGATCTGTGTGGCCTCCTCAGCCTCCTCAGCCTCCTCACTGCCCTGAGATGCCCCCCACCCACCCTACGCTCACCTGCTGCCATTTCGCGTGAAGCCTGGAGGGCACTGGGCCAGGCATCTGCCCTGGTGAATACCAAAGGTGAAGGCACTGCCGGGCACGGAGCGCAGGTTGGCACAGCGCTCGGCTGTGACACAACGCCAAGACTCATGCTCGTAGGTGCCTAGAGGACAGGCTTGGTGGCAGGTGCCCTGGTAGTAGAGGTGGCGGCAGGCTACACAGGCACGAGGATCTTCAGGCTGGCTGCAGCCCCCTAGACACTCGGTGTGGCAGCACTCGCCCCGCAGCGTGCAAGCCAGCCCTCGGGGGCAGGGACACACTGTGGGCACAATGCTGCGTTACATCTCACCATACCCCTCCGCCCTGGGACCAACCCCTCCTGGGTCGATGCTCTCAGTCTGTGCCTACATCTCTTCGATTCAGATGGCACAGGTGGCTGACTGGGCCTGAGGGGCTCTTGAGGACCAGGCTTCCCTATTCTCATAGTGCCTAATGGGGTGGTATGGTGGTGGTGGTGATTGTGTCAAGATTCAGGGCAGAAAAGTGAGCTTGTCAATCAGAGTTAGTGCTTTCCACACCACTGCTGGGGGGAGAGCCCAGCACCAGTCATCTCACCATGCCCCTGCCCATACTGCCTCCCTCTCAGCTCCCTGCCCTGGGCAGAGAGGGGCACCCAGCAGAAGTAGCTGGGTCTGGGGTTGGGGGTGCAATAGCCTGAAAACACAGTGGCAGCTGGAAGTCTAGGAGCTGTGTGCAGGGTGGGGTCAGCAGGGCCTGTTGACAGTGTACACAGGGAGGACTGCAGCAGCTGTGTTTACAGCCAACAGGGAGGCACGGCTGCGGTGGGCTCTGGATACAGCAGGGATCTGATTACTCTCTCTCCTGCCCTAATGCTGAGGCAGTGGAGGTGAGAAGAGCCGACCTCTAACAGCAGTGTGGAAAAGACTCCCAGGCTGGGCACCCCAGATCTGCTCCCAGCTTCTGAAATATCTTCCGTCCCTCCCTGGAACCTTCACTGTCACCTGCTCCAGCTGTCCCTGCCTTCCCTGTCTTCCTCAGCTTCCACGAATCTTACTTCCCAAAGATCTCAGCTCACTGTCCGCCTTCACCTGTCCAGTTCTCCATCCATCACCTCCTCCTTTCTTCCCATACTTGGTGCCCGATCTCCTGATGGCAGTACTGCCAGCTCACCCTGCCCACCTTGCCAGGCAGCTTTTATGGGGAACAGAGCCACCACAATGGCCCTGGCGCTGCTATAATGCTCTGTAAAATAACTCATCCCTCATAACAACCCTATGATCATTTTAAGAGCAGGAAACTGAAGCATAGATAAGCTAAGTGAGCACAGCCGATAAGCAAGGAGCTGAAATTTGAACCCAGGCTGTCCAGCTTTGGACTTAAGCCGCCACTGCTCCAAAATTTTGTGCTACTTCCTGTCCTTTCTTCCACCTGCCCTCCTTGTACCAATTTACTCCCTGGTTACCTGATGCTTCTCCTACCTACTCCCTGACTGCCTTATGCTATGTCAGTTATGACATTTTTCTGAGCCTCAGTGTCCTTTTTTGCAGTAGTACCTGCCTTACAGGATGAGGGAAGATTTAAAAAACAGGGACAGCAAAGGACTGACCCACGCCATCCTGTGGCTTCCCAGCCCCACCACGCCCTGCTTTCCTGTGCCCCTGTCACTTTCTGTGCCAGTGCCCACCTCGCTGGCAGTGGCTGGAGGTCCAGCATCTGTAGTCGGTGTGCCCGCCGAAGGTGGTCCTGGCACAGGGCTCGCCAGCAGCTCCCAGTGTACCTGGGCACACGTCGGCGCACTCCTCACCCAGCTTGTTGCCCACGATGTAGTTGGCACTGGGTACGGGCTGCAGCAGGCCCCAATCGATGGTGGAGAGGTGGCAGAGCTCCTGATTCTTCTCCACGCGCACAGCTCCATGCAGTACAGCCCCAAGCGCGGGCAGCCCCACATCCCGCAGATGTGGCATTTCAAAGATGACCAGCGCATAGCCCAGGAAGAGGTGAGCACCACGGATCACTGCTAGGTTGGGGAAGAGGTCACGCAGGCTCTCTAGGCCATAAACCCGGAAGAGTAGCAGGTAGTCAGTGACCTGGGTGAGGTGTGGGAAGCTGAGGCTGCGGAAGTCCTCCCCTGTGGCTGTGAACATGAGCAGGATCTGCAGGTGGCCCTCCACCACGCTACAGTTCTCCAGCCGCCGCAGCTCTGCTACCTCGGAGCGGATGTCCAGGCTGGGGCACACTGTGGGTACATACGGTACGTGGTGTGAGTACCCCGTCCCACGCTGGCAGCACTGGGAGGAGAGCCACACTGGCAGGACACTGGATGGGAGGCACCAGACTTTGCTCTGGGTGAGGGATGGCCTGTTCTTCCTTGTGCCCCAGAGGCTGAGCCTGCGCCTTGCAGGGTCACTGCCAGGTATGTCACTGTGGGGAAGAAGGAGCCTCAGTCTCCCCTCAAGTCTGCTTCCCCTTCAAAGTGAATAAACAGCAACCTCATTCCTGCAGTCCTGCTCACCCCTGACTTCTCCCTCGTGTCCTGTGGGCTCCGTTGTTAAAGAGCATCTGGAACCTGACTGCTGGTCACCACCTTATGCTTCTCTGCCTCTGCCTCTGCATCTATAGTAGCAGCTTCCCCAGTGCCTCTCGCTTCACCTTGCCCCTCTGCGGAAAGTCCTCCACTCTGAAACCACAGTGACCTTCTCAAAACACAGTTGGATTGCGCTGCTCCTCTGCTTGGAGGAGCATGGCTCCCACCTCATTGCAGGTAGGGCAGCCCTTACTTCTGCCGGGGAGGCCTGTACAATTTGGGCCCCATGACCTCTGATTTCCTTCCTTTTCTCTCTTCTTTGGCTGTTTTGGCCTCTTTTTTTGCCCTTCAAATAAGCTACCCAAACCTGCCTCAGGGTGTTCTTACTTTAGTTTCCTGTACCTAGAACCCTCTTTCCCTGGCATGGCGTGGCATGGCTCCTTACCTTCTTAAATCAACTTCTGAGGGAGGGGCTACCCACCACCACCCCTTGCTTTATCTTGCTCTATAACCCTTAACACTGGCTCATATATACCTTACTTACTTATTTTGTTTGTTACAAGCTCCAAAAGGGCAGTGATCTTTGTATAATTCGTTGCTCTGTCCCAGTGCATGATATAGTGCCTGACACACAATCAGCATTCAATAAACATTTGATGGATGAATGAATGAATTCTGTGACTGGGAAGCAGTGAGCTCTGAGCTCCATACTTCCCAGTTCTCTCCCTGCATTCCTTCCCTAACCCTCTGGCCCTGTGACTAACCTCCCTTTCTGACTCTGTGCACTTAGTTCACCAGTGCTAGTCACAAGCATACCTGGGGCATTGCCCCCTCACTGTCACCTACATCCCCATTACCCCCCCCCAAGGAGGGCAGGGCCTACCATGGTGCCCAGTCCAAGACTGGAAGCAGGGGCACTCGGAGACTGTGGACCACAGACATCTGGATCCCAAATCCATTTTCCCTTGGGGACCCACGTGTGCCTGGCTCTCTCAGGCCCAGAGCCCCACCTCACTTCCCTTTTGCTCCCCAAGGCACTGAGAACTATCCCCCTTGAGGACCTGGATGCCTGGCCTCACTTGCTCCTATGGGTGCCTTGCATAGCTTCCCATTGCAGAAGCTGCAAACCTGAGTTCTTTAGCCTGTTCAGGTCCAGCTTGCCTCTCCAGCCTCTGCACACTCCCTTCCCACCTGGGCCTCCAACAACATCACATGCACCACATGGTCCAGGCCCATTCTAGGTTGCGGCAGGGGGTAGGCGCACCTTTTCCCAGTTGTCACTGATGGTCCTGAGCTTGACTCTGCCTGGCAGCTTTGTGTGTGTGTGTGTGTGTGAGAAAGAGAGAGAGAGAGAGAGAGAGAGAGAGAGAGAGAGAGAGAGAGCGAGCGCTCAGGCAGGTACACACGCACACAAGAGAGGGAGAGAATGAGAAAACACTTCCATCTCCTCCAGGAAAAGGCCAATCAGGCTCTGCAAGGCAGATGGGGGTTCTCTCAGGCGCCCACTTCCCATCATGCCCTTGCCTCTCCAGGGCTCCCCTGATGGGAGTCATTTGGAAAAACAAATCTAAGACCTTTGCAAATTAACCCCTGCCTTCCCTCAGGTCTGAGCCTATGCAAAACTGCCCTGGGAACAGGACATCTGGGTCCCCTGACTAAACACTGACCCCCTCCTCCAGGGACATGCTTCTGTCTTGACAACTGTGCTCCTGGTTGGCATGTGCTGGTACAGCATGGAGGGGGAGAGGCAGGGGCTCAGTGCATGCGTGTGTGTGTGTGTGTGTGTGTGTGTGTGTGCGCGCGCGTGCACGCATGTGCAGGCTTTCCAGGCAGAGCCTTTGAGACTAGCATCCTTCAGGGCACCCCCAGCCTGCCCTGTCTGTGTAGGAAGGAAACTGCCCTAAGTGGAAGCTCCGGTCTAAGACTCCTCAGGCCAGTACAGAGTGCTGGGTTCCTGAGCTCCCTCTCGGGAGTGACGGTGGAACTGGGGAAGGGAGCACCGCTCAATCTTTCCCTCACGCTTTCCCTTGCCACTGATGGTCCTGAGCTTTTTGAATTTTCCCCCTCTGCTTTTCTTTCCTCTCCCACTAAGCCCCCAGTACCCTTTAGTCTACAAGGTCCCATGACCCTACCCAACCCGGTACTTGGTGGAAGCGTCTGTCTGGGAAAAGGCACTGGGCACTGAGGGAGGGCAGCCTCCCCAGCTCCTCCCCCCACAGATGGCCTCTAAAGGCAGAGGACATTGGACAGGGCTTGGGGGCTCATCTGGGTTTATTGCTCCTTTCTCTGAGCCTGTTTCCTGTCTTAATGTGCTGGTTCTCAGCCACCTGCCCTAGCCTTGTCCCCCTCATTTGGTGGCCCTAGAAATGATCTCTAACAGTCCTGTTCTTATCCAGGCTTTCCTGGGATCATCGTTTCACAAGAAGGAATGGGGTGGAGGACATCTGTTCATCTTGCTGCTTCCAAGTCCTTGCCTCCTCTAGGGCTGAGGGAAAAACACCTTTATGTGGGCATCTTTTTCTTGGTGGGATGTCCTTCTGAGATCTAATCGCATTCTTCATGTCATGTGGAAAAGTAGATGCATTCTGGCTGGAGCCTCAGCTTGTGGCCTCCTAGCTGTCAGAGAGGGAGAAGTGTTGGTGGGGTGTCAGGGAGACCCGGCTGGAGACTCACCCTTCATTGTGTCCAGGTTAAATCCTGAAGAGAGGAGGCTCACAAGCAGGCATGTTTCCCAGCACCACACACTGGGCCTGGCCATGGCCCCAGCCGGGGCTGTCCGTCCTGCTCTCCTGCAGGTGGCTCCTGGGAGAAGGGTCTGAGAAACGGTGGGGAGGCAGAGACCGGCACTCTGGAGAGCAGAGTGGGGCCAAGGGCAGAGCAATTAGGAACACTGGAGGGGACAGCAGGAGGCAGAAGAGAAAGGAAGATCACAGATACAAAGCCAGTGACGGGCAGTTGGAGACAGACTCAGCGTGAATGCAGAGGTGGAGAGACGGTGACAGAGATGCAGACAGTGCAGCGAGAACTTCAGAGGCCTCCAGAGGGAGAAAGTGACACTCAGAGAGAAGGGCAGGCCTAGAGAAGGCCTACCGCGGCGGGGCGGAGCCCCAGGAGCGCTCCGGGGCGCGCGGCGGACAGAGGAGAGCCTTGGGGTTCCTGGGCGCTCCGGCTGTGTCTTCCAGGCCGGCTGGCAGGCGCTCCCGTCGGCCGCGCCCAACTCGCTCCTCCCCGCCCCCAGGAGCGGATTGGTTTGTGGGACTTCCCAGTTCTCTCTGCCGCGCCCCCCACAAGCCAAAATATTTAGCCTGACAACTGAGGAGGGGGGGTCAGATCTGTTGGGGAAATAAGGCCAAAATCAGGGGGGTGGAGGGTTGGCCAGGAACTGCTTCTCCGGTCCAGGCTGGTGGCCAGGTCCCCTCCCCGCCCCCGCGGCGGGCTTCTCCCGGGTGACAATGGACAGACCCAGGTCTCCTTCCTGGGAGAGAGCTCCAAATGCTGCCATCAGGTGCCCGGACACCTGCAGGGCCGCATCCTCGACCTCGATCCACGGAGCCCACTGTGGAAACCTGGCGAGAACGTGGATTAGTCTGTGTCTTCAAGCCCTTTGCCCCTCGGAGCCCCTCTCAGCTTCAGAAGGCCACCCTGTCCGTGGGCCCTTTGCAGGAGGCCTTGTCCCAGGCTAATCCCTTGGTTCCCACCCAGATCCCTGCAAGGGGCGATCGCCGTGCGGCCCCCACTCTCTCCTGTAGTCCTCCTGCACCCAGGCCAGTCGTACGGGCTGCCGTTCGGGCTGCCGGGACTTGACGACTCTGCGCTGAGGACCCCGAGGCTGTGCCCCAGTCCAGTCCAACCCTTCCCGAGAGTCCTCCTCCAGAACTCATCTCATCTCCTCCCTCTCCTCAATCTGAGACCGATGGGCTCCTGTGGCCCATCCTGTGGCCCACTGCCACGAGGCCAGTGGCTGGGAGAGCTGGGCCTGCCCTTCAGGGCTCTGGGTGCTGGGGATGCCAGGCTCTCTGGGGGCTACCATCCCCGCTCCACTCGCGTCCGAAGAGCTAAGCGAAGATCTATTAATTTCTACGTGCAGAGATCGATGCTGTTGTCAGGAGGGCGATCGATGCCAGCCCTGCTCGGCTTGGTCCTGTTCGCCCCGGGCCCCGCTGGCTGGTCGAGGTCTGGCCCTAGGCCCCAGGCACAGTGCTCGGGGTGCGGCCTGCGCCCTGGGCGGCCCCAGGGCGAGCACCACCTCTGGGCGGGCCTCGAGCGCCACCCTGTGGCCTCCTGCGCCAAGGGGTCCCGCTCCCGGGTCGGCCTGAGGCTTTTGAGGGCACTCCTCTTTCTCCTCTCCTCTGTGCTCGGTCCTTCTGATAATCTCTCGGTTCTTGCTAGGTCAGAAAGTGTTCCACCTGATTTATCCCAGGTGACGGGCAAATTCCCTCGGCATGCGGGTCGTTGGCCCGGGCTGGCTAGGATGACCTAGACTGCACCCTTTCCTCAGCTCCACGTCTTCCCTCCCGCAAAATCTAAAAATGCAGCTGCTTCAAGCTGAGAGAAGTAACACATCAGCTTCCCAGACCCCCAGTCCCCGAGGACACCCGCGGTACTCGGTGGAGAGGGGACATCCGGGGAGACGCTGGCTGAGGCCAGGGGCGGGGCGGCCGCTGGCCCCGCCCCTCCACGCTCGGGTCTTTAACATCGCCCGCGCACGTGTAGGGGAGCAGCCGCTCCTGCTGCTGGGAGCGCGGAGGGCGCCGGCCGGGCAAGCGGACCGCGCGATGCTGCGAGGCGGACGGCGCGGACAGTCCAGCTGGCACCGCCGAGCCACCGCGCTGGGCAACCTGCTGCCTTGGCTGATGCTGGCATCTGTGGGCGCCACGTCCTGCCCCGATGTCTGCTGCCCCTTCGGCCCCTCGGGGCTGCGCTGCACCAGGGCTTCGACCCTAAATAGCCTCCGTCAGCTGCCGAACGCAGAGAACCTGACAGAACTGTGAGTGTCCAGTGGGCGAGGGGGGCGGCGACAGGAGGGTACAGCCCTGCCCCGAAGGCGCGGCCGGCTGCTTGGTAGCTGGGTCAGGCTGGGCGGACTGCGGACAGCACCACGCAGCTGGTTTCTTCTGCTGATGCCGCCGTTCTGTGGGACCCCTCCACCCGCCACTGTCTGGATGTCACCTAAGGCTCAGGGCAGTTGGGACGCTGGTTCTGGGTAGAGCAAGGGGGGATTTCCGTGGATCAGGTCTGAGGAGCCCAGACGTCCAGAGCCCCTTTCTAGAGCTCTGTGCCCCACTGGATGGGGGAGGTCAGCTGCGGAAACCCCCTCAGTGCAGCACTCTTAGGTCTTTTCCCTTTACCAGGAGGAAGCTGGCCCCCCAGCTCCTTCCTCGTCGAGACCAGGCACCTCTAGCTCTTCCCCTTGGGCTGGGGATTGAGCTGGAATTGGTGAAGGGCCACAGCTTGGTGGCTGAGCTCTTCTTTCCCATTGCCACCGTTGCTTGGCCCCAGAACCCCTTGATTTGGATGTGGAAAAGGGATTCGCTCCTGGTTTCTCTCCTTCCACTCCCATCTGCCTTTCCACCCTTGTTTTCCTACTTGGGTCAGGAAGTCAGGGCCATTGTCGAGAGATCCTCCTCCCTTCCAGATCCAAAGCTGGGAGGCATCTCCAGCGGGCTGCAATGCTCTGGCATTTAAAAAATCCTCAAGTATTTTGTAGCTGCTGGTGAAACCTATGGGAGTGTGCTGTCATAATTGGCCTAGAGGTACTCAGGCATCATGTGGTGATGGCTGAAAAGACCTGAGTATTCTCTGTGGCTGGCGGGGCCAGCACGACTTCTAGAAGAAGGGAGGAATTGCTGGAAGATCTCCATTCTATGCTCTGGAGCTCGTGGGTGGGCAGTAACCTTGGTCTTGAGCGATGACAGGCTGGAAGGAATCCGAGGTGGGGGCTGTCACTGTCTGGAAGTTACTTGAGCAGCCTGCAGTAATTGGCACTGAGTTACTCGGGCATCTTGTGGTAATTAACGGGAAGGTACTCAATATCTCTCTCTAATGGCCCTAGGGAGACCAGGAGGAGAGGAGATGGTCTTGTCTTGGTGTAGGCCTAGGTTTCTGCCTGAGCGGAGGGGGGCATGAGAGCCACACTGTCACCCCGGGTTCTGTCCATTCATCACTCTGGGCCTTCAAGCCAGGGACCAGGCTCCTGACTGCTCCCCATCGGTGTTCTTTCCCAGTGCCTTTTCAGACCCCAAGTAGATCCAGCCTGGGGGTAGAGAGAGCTGGCAGGCCAGGGCTGGGGCTAGGGGTCCGGTGACTGAAATGTCCCTTTGGGGGGCAGCAGCCCAATCCCCCTCACCTCCTCCTGCGCAGTCGCCTCTCTCCTCCCTCACCCGAGGAGCTAACAAGGAGATAATGGACTCGAATAGACAGATTGATTATGAATCCGAACGAATGAGGCAGCTTTGAGCACACTGCCTGACAGCGAGCACACACCCGGCTGGCCCTGCGTCTCACCATCTCCTCGGGTCCCGATGGCTTGAAACCCTGGGTGGGGCTGGGGAGTGTCAGACAGAACAAGGACCTGCCCCCTCAGAGTTACGCCTCTGAGGACTGAGACCCGACACCTGGCTGCTCTTTTAGGGGGGCCACAGCTGGGCAAGGAAATAGGTCCTTTATGTCAGTCCTGTTTTCCTTACTCAGGGGAAAGTCCAAAGGTAGAGGAAGGGAGTTTTGAGAGCAGACAGTGAGTCAGGGCCTCTGGGGGGTGTGTGTGTGTGTATGTGTGTGTGTCTGTGTGTGCATGTGTTGTACGCCAACGTGCTACTGCAGGACAACTGAGTTCTCAGGAACTCCCTGGCATGCCAGATCCAGTAGCCAGGCAGGGCCAGCCATCAGCACCCCCAGGCCTCCTTGCTTTTCTTTCTTGCCTGCCTATCTTCTCTGGCTGTCTGTCCTTGTCTGTCTGTCTGTCTGTGTCTCCTTATCTGTTTTTCTCCTTGCCACCCTTTCTCTCTGCCAGTCTCTTCCTGTTGGTTTCTTTGTCTCCGCGTCTCACTCTTTGTTTTTTTGCCCCCTCCATTCGGCCTTCCCATCTCACCCGTGTAAGCCAGTCAGTCCTTGCCACTCCTTCCCCCCCACACCTCTAGATCCATCCCCCTATTGCCCTTCTCCCTTCCAGGGTCTGTCACGGGGCAGGGAGGGTCTGGGGTCTCTACCTTTCCGCCTCCATGCATTTTGCTTGCTCTATGGTATGTGTGGAGGTTGCTGCTTGAGTGTGGGAAGGGCCAAAGGCTTTTTTGGTGGCAGAGCAGGAAGGGTGTGTGTGTGTGTGCGTGTGTGGTCTGAGAATGGCCCCTGAGTGGGCACATTTGGGAACACACACAGGGCTGTGGCCACAGGGCTTCCTTCTCGCTGGGTGGGGCAGTGGCGGTGATGAACCGAGGCTCTTTGTGGAAGCAGGTGTTCCACCCTGGCTCCCACTGTGCAGCATGTGCGGGGAGACTGGTACAGAAGCAGAGAACCAAACCTAGAAGAGATTGGCGTGCGTGTGTATGAATGTGTGTGCACATTTCCCGCACATGTGCATGCGTGTGCCTCTGAGAGGTACATATGAGCTTTGCCTGTGTGTGTCCGTACGTGAGGAGATGAGCCTCCATCTGTGCACACACATTTATTCTTGCATGCATGCGCATGTGTGAATGTGCACGAGCAGCATCTCTGGGCATATGTTCGTGTCTCTGTGTGTGCATATGCATGTTGGGTGTGTGTATGGTACAAGAGGTATGTACGTGTTCATATGCATGAGGTTGTGTGAATGCACAGATGCATGTACATGTAGCTTGTGAAGAGGTGGTCTCTGCATATGCATGCATGCCTGTGCATGTGTAAGTATGCAAGTGGTCTGTGTGTGAGTAGTGCTCGTGTGTGTGCATGCATGCAGACATGCATGTGTGATTGTGAGGGAGTTGGTGGCATGGGGATTCAAGTGGGAGCTGAGCCCTTTGATAACCACCCCTTATCCCCACAGTTATGTGGAGAACCAGCAATATCTGCAGCATCTGGAGCTCCATGACCTGCACGGCCTCGGGGAACTGAGAAACCTGTGAGGAGCTAAGGGCTCTGTGGGGTGGGACTCAGGCCTGGGCCTTGGGGACCAAAAGGTCAGCCTGGGAGGACTTGAGAGGCTGAGCACCGAAGGGCTGGGGGGGATAAGGAAGTTCAGGGGTCCAGAAGGTCCAGATAGCCTTGGAAACTAAGAGGGAAGGGGAGAGGTGCAGAGCTCAGCCCTGGGAATCTAGGACCAGGACGGGCAGAGAGGGCAGGGCTCAGGATAGAGAACTGAGGACCCAAGGCTGATCCTCCGTACACC